AAACCCAAAACAGCTTGTTTAAACGAGGGCTCCTGTAAGAGAGGAACAGAGAGAGAGCTATTTTTACAGTCATCTTGAAAGTAGGCTGAAAGTAGTTTAAAGTGGCAAAATTGCTTAAAATTAAAGTCATCATAAAAAAGGTCGCATTTCAGTTTAATGTAAAAAAATAACTTTTATTTTTATTTCAATATAAAAAGTGGAAATAACCTGCAGTTCTTGCTAGGAAAACTAAAGTTTTAACTAAGTTTTAAAGTTTTTACGCTGCGTAAAAAACATATGCTGGATAAGTAATATTAGATATCAGATTAATAAAGAGACTAAGCTGAAAAGAAAAATGAATGAATGAATAAACAGTGGAGCAGGCTACTTCAGTGACTTCAGCTTGAGTGATGGAGGAATGGACCTCTGTTTTCCCCATCTCTGCTTCCTCAAAGGAAGATATGCCAATAGGATTAATGAGATCCTCAAAGCACTCCTTCCACTTTCCAACAACATCCTCAGTTGAAATCAATATTGTTGGTGAAGCATTTCTTCCCCTTCCTGAAGCACCAGACAGTTTGTCAAAATATCTTTCCAACAATAATAATCTTCCATGGCCTCCCTGAACTCTGCCCAGGTCCAGGAGCTATTGCTTTCATGACCACCTGGGGAGTAGCACACTTGGTCTGTCCTTACCCATCAGCTGCCTTGAAAGTCCTAAAAGCCAACCAGGTCTGGTTAGTAAGACTCCTTCAGCTTGACGGCATCCCTTAGTTCTGGTTTTCACCACCTGATTCGTAAGTTGCCGCTGGACCAGAGACCTTTGCCACATAAAGAATTGGTTGGATTTGGAGAACGTAGATTAATTCTTGGCAGTGACCGAGCCTCCACCTCTAGCAGTGGACTCAACCCACCACCAGCTGGTGTTCAGTTGACAGCTCTGCCACTCTTTTTACCTGAGTGCTCAAGACATACAGTCTGAGATCGGATGAAAGATCACAAAGTCAAACATCGACCTCCAGTCTAGGGTGTCCTGGTGCACTGATGGACACCCTTATACTCGAATGTGGTGTTTGTTATGGAAAAACTGTAACTAGCACAGAAATACAATAACAGAACACTAGTCTGTTTCAGATCAGTGAGGCTGTTCTTCCCAGTCATGCCTCTCCAGGTTTCACTGCCATAACACATATGATTGTTGAATCCCCCAGTAGAATGACCGAGTCCCCTGCCAAAGTACCTTCTAGCACCTCTTCCAAGGGCTCCAAGATGTTTGGTTACTCTGCACTGCTGTTCGGCCCAGAAGCACAAACTACAGTGTGAGATATTTTCCCAGACCACAGGTGCAGGGAGGAAACTTTCTTATTTATTGGGGTAAACTCCAACACATGGTGGCTGAGCTGTGGAGTTATAAGCAAGTCCACACCAGCTTAATGCCTCCCAATGTGGGCAACTCCACAGTAGAAGAGAGTCCAGCCCTTCTCCAGAAGTTGAGTTCCAGAGCCCAAACTGTGCTTAGAGGTGAGACCAACTATCTCTAGTTGGTACTTTTCAACCTCCCGTACAACCTCACCCTTTCCTATCAGTGATGTGACACTTGATATCCCAAGAGCCGGTTTCTGTGTCTAAAGATTGGGTCATTGTGGCCTTCGATCACAACCAAATCCACATTGCAATCTTCTCCTAGCTAGCTGGGTTATTCCTCTCAGAAACTGGCCAGACTCTCCATGAAAGAGCGACATAGGACTATTGTCCTATCAACCCACCACCTGCAGGAGGAGCCATAAGGATCAGGTGTATTGTGGATTGGTTGAAGGACAAGGCCACAATGACCCAATACTTGGACACAGAACCTGGCTCTTGATACAGGAAATATATATAGCATAGCATGCAGTTACAATTCGTTTTCATTTTTTCTATTTTATGATATAATTATTTTTCTGAAGTTTGCATATTTTAAATGTGTACCCTAGTAATATTTAAAATAACTCCAGCCAGCCAGAGGACAGATTATTAATTCTCTTATCAGAGAAATTGTGTGAGGCAAGAACAATCCCAACAATAGCAATCAATGGTCCAATCAATTTCAAATGGACACAAACATGTCCTGCACAATTTTTTCCGTTCACCAAGTGTTACACAGTAACAACAGAGACTATAACAACTTCCTTTTTATGTCAACTTTAAATGCCCATGGACAAATTTTGTACACTAATATCGATTAGCTGGGAATATAATACAGAATGCTTTATCAAAACTTGAAGTTCATTATGTACCATTCTCTGTATTGCAAAAACAATGACATTACATTGGGAAGTTGACATTCTCACCGGCATTGGTTCAAAACACAGATTGTAGCCAGACTCAAGGAAGATTCCCATTTTGATTGAATCTGGAGAGTTGAGGAAACTCAGTAGATAGTTAAACGTCTCTTTGTTCCATTGACTGAGAATAGAAAAGAAAACATTTTATTTGCTGCTAAGTCATCCAGCAATTTATTTTCTTCGAATATCTAAGAAAAAGCATGTGCTTTAGCTGACTGAAAGCTCACGTTTCTTTGACGTTGCCCTTGTCGTAGAGATAGGGCTGCCAGAATCCAGCTGCCCCATCGCTGGTGGTCAGAGGGGTGAAGATATCAGCATAAACCTCTATGGTGAGAGGAGAGACTCTGCTGTGGAAGTGCTGGTAGATGCTCTGAGCAGTGGAGAGACCGATGACCCCCGCGCCAATGATGCACACTCTCATGACTGCAGAAATGCTAAAGAAAAGATAAAAAAATCCATCAATCATTTTTTATTGAATGATTTGCACTATGTTGAGTCTGTGCAAAAAAAAAAAAAAAGAACATCTTAAAATGTAAATATCAATGCAGTCTGTTTTATATAATGGTACAGTTTCAGTACAAACCTGTTTTAATTGTGCACCAATGCTACCATATGTTCAGTTATTAAAAGTAATTTTATATTATAAAGTCACAAAAGTCAAGCTATAGTTGTACTACTTATTTGCCTTCTTGTGCGCTTTTTAATAACTATTCAGTATGTATCACTGATTGAATAAAGCATTTAATCTAATAGATAGCTGAAAATAACCTATTTTCTACATTTATGCATTTGGTGTTTTTCTTGCATTGCATTCAATGAGCCAAAGGCTTATAAAAAAAGGCATAACATGTGGACAGCATCACTCACCAAAGTTTCTTCTTGTCAGCGTTGGTCTAAACACGTCCTTACCGTCTCTCTTGCATAAAGGTAATGAATCGCATGCAGGTCGCAAACTCACTTATAATCTTTTTTGTACATTGCGTAATGTACAAAAGAGGTGGTGCTGTTTCTTTTAATCACCCTCAAAAATGCCCAATATATGGACTGAATTGCGAATAACATTAGTTATTCTATTTACATGAGAAAAACGTGGGAGATATGTTGTTTGTTTTTAGTAATGGAGGTTTTGCATCATATTAGTCACTGTAATATTTTGTCTGCCTGTTTTAGTCATTGATTTGCTCAGAGCCCCTGGATACGTCATTGCTCCAGCAGGTGGCGACAATGCTTGATTGTTGGAGTCATGTAAGTAAAAAAAAAACATTTATCTTTGAGTTTCGTTGACCGAATAAAATGTACAATTACATATATTTGTGAAAGTAAAACTACAACCCAAACATTTATTGTAATATTTTTGCAGCTATGTGAGTCATTGTTTTTAATTCGAATGTTATTGGGGACCTTTTCCTTCACCTTCGGAGTGTGGGATTGATTGATTGACGTGTTTGTTTTTAATCAAGCAGGAGTGAGGATGAGTCTGTCACGTAGCCCCACTGATAAAGGTACAGAGTTTGTCTCATACATGAACTTATTTGTCTTATTTTGACCATCACCCACATCAGGCTTTAAGGCTAAGCAGAATCCTCTGTCCGCTAATCAGTTTTGGCCAATGCAAACAATTATTTTACATGAGTTCAACATCCAGCTAGATGTTGATGTAAGAAAACATATAAACTGACCTAAGAGGTCATCTATTGCAACTGTTTTGTTTTTAAAAGAAGAAAACATTTTACAACAAACTTTTAATGCAAATCTTTGACCTTATACTTGAAACATAAATATCCAATAAAAGATGTTGAGCACCAAAAGTGGCCCATATTAAAATTGATCTGAATACTATTTTGGTTAAAATAGTCAAAAAGTGTGGTTATGATGACTAGCTAATTCAGAATAGTGCTTAAAATGTCACTAAAATGCAGTATTTAAATCTTATAATTCAATAGAAAATTTGTGATATAACTGCAAAAAAGTCCACTTTTTAAGATAAAAGAACCACAGCTTGCAAAAGGCTGGCTACGGGCCTGTGTTCAAACCTTTTACAGTCAGTCCCGACTCTGTAGAAAGCTTCTTGCTTGTCTTTAGTCTTGTGTTTTGTGTCTCACTAGTCACTACACAGTAGCCAAATATCTCAGTTGAAATTTGAGCCACAATGGACATTTTACTGTATGAAATAGATCTCTTTTACAAAGACAAAAATCTCGGCCACTAATGTTTTTACTGAATCCAATTTCCAAATTAATTTCCTTTTTAATGATGCTTATCCACATCACAAAAGTTGGAAAACACTGTGAACATAATGAAAAAGGCAATGTGTTAAGAGAAGGGTTGTATATTTGATATACAGTGCTCAGCATATTTGAGTACACCCCTGTTTGAAAATGAATATCTTTATCCATTTCTCAGTGAACATATGGGTGATATATTTTGATGCATTTGAACAAAAACAGATTTATTAAACAGATATATTTAAGTAATATTTTTGTCACAGAACATATTTAGAAATGAAAAGATAATAAATTTAAATTCATGACAGATACTGAAAAAAAATACAACCTACAGCATTTTAACAAAACTCTATATATTTTTTTATTTAATATTTTTCCCTATATATATGGGGTACTCATATATGCCGAGCTCTGCACATGTGGATAATAACAATAAAATAGAAATTTTAAAAAGCACAAAACTATACATTAATTCTTTATTTAATTCTTTATTGTATATCAAAAGAGCAAATTGCTGACAATTCAGTTCTGCAATTTGTTTTTAAAAAATTAATGAGTGATAAAATAGATCATTTAAACAGTGACATTAGGCTGCAGCAGATCCCAGTAGTCTGGTACACATTTTTGCACTCAGTGTATTCATTATCTTATGGAATCAGTCTGACAGCGGTTATGAGATTAAGGAAAAATATTGCTGATGTCTGACGAGATTAATCATAACACTGTTCAAAGAGGCTCACATTTTTTCAGAGACGTGATTTAGCTTGTGCTGCTTGTGATTTAGATTGAACAAGCAAGCCTTTCTGCTCCAGGAACTGTCCAAAGAGCCGAGCAGCTTCCTCAGCACATCCACGATGGATGGTCAGCCCAAAACCTCCATGTCCATAGTTATGGATGACCTGAGGCAATAAAAACAGCATGACGTATGAAAAAAAGAGATGTAATGAAATGAAATGCTGCTCTTTTCACTAGATGAGCTCACCTCAAATGAGTGTCCTCCACATCGTATGGATTCTCTCTCTAGTCTGACTTTACTGCGTGCAGGTCTGAGACCAGTCCAGTCTTCTACTATCCGCGCATGCTAGACAGAAAAGATGTTTTGTTAGGAAATTCAATACTTAACCAATAATAAAACCATCTGATCTTCTACCTGTAGACTGGGCTCAAGTTTGCAGGCGGCTTCCCAGATTTGTTTATGGTCAACAGAACTGTTCAGCCGATTCCAGTTTCCCACTTGGAAAACTCCACCAACAGTGACCAAACGACTCCTGCGGAAACAAACAGGTCTGAAACACTGCTAAGATCACATTTTGCTTTTAAAAACAAAACTCTGACTTTAATATTTTGTGAATAGGATTTGATTTTGATCATGAAGATGCTCACCCAGGTATGATGTAAGCTGAATTACCCCTAGACGAGAAATTATGTGTGGAGATCCAGTGTTTTATCCAGGGAGCGTCTACCTGTTCACATACAGCACACAGTTTGAGGGGATGTTTTCACCCCTATTGATTTTTGTTGTTTTTTTATAAATCAAAATTTGTAATGTTTGTTTTACTAGCACACATTGTTAGTATTGAGGGAACGTTCACTTGTTCCAAACCAGTCTGCGATTCTTTTTTTTGTTCTGTTGAAAAAAAAAGCCGATATTTGGAATATCTTTATTCTGAGATTACCAATCGTGATAAATACAAGGACATGTAAAGTAAATTGAAACTCAAAGCATTTACTGGGGCACAGCAGGTTTTTACTGGAGCACATGCCCTAGTAAATAGGGTCCTATAACAACACCCCTGCTCTGGATTTTATTAGATATCTCATTCACAAGCTACACAATAAACCTCTCACTTGAATAGTATGAGAAGTATGATTATTCTGCACATGTTTATTATCTTAGTACATCATGTTGTGTGTACAAGTTTATACAGAGTTGTATAATGACATGCATGCCTACGACCAGTCTGGCGTGGTGGCGTAGTGGGTAGCGCTCTCATCTCACATTAAGAAGGTTGCTGGTTTGAGCCTCGGCTGGGTCAGTTGACATTTCTGTGTGGAGTTGGCATGTTTTTCCCATGTTCGCGTGGGTTTCCTCTGAATGCTTCGATTTACCCCACAGTCCAAAGACATGCACTATAGGTGATATGGGTAAGCTCAATTGTCCATAGTGTATGTGTGCGAATGAGAGTGTAAGTGTCTCCCAGCAATGGGTTGCAGCTGGAAGGGCATCAGCTGTGTAAAACATATGCTGGATAAGTTAGCAGTTCATTCAGCTGTGGCGACCCCTGATTAATAAAGGGACTAAGCCGAAACGAATATGAATAAATGTTTATGACCTAGTTGTACTCTGTTAAGGTGGTTTACAAGGACATGACGTGTGTTCTCCTAGTTCAAAATGCTTAAATATTATACTTAATGAGGTCTTTTAACATTAAAAATGTAGCACAGATTTCCTGTGAGGGTGGGGTTTAGGGTAGGGGTGGTGGCCAAAGCACTTTTCACAGTATAAAATACACAATGCCTATGGAGAGTCCTCGTAAACCATATATACAAGTGTGTGTTAAAAAAAATTCAGGAGACTTTTTGAACCTAAATAAGCCTTGCCTACAATGTAGATATCAGAAAACAATTGAACTTACTGAATTTAATTAGTCGTGGATTTAGGCATGGGGCAATATCAGCAATCTCCCAGGGCAGTACAGGGAGACGGTGCAAATAAAAGTGCCCCAGTAAAAGCTTTGAAATAAGATTTACTTCATGCAAGTGTATTGAGTTGTTATCCCAGAATAAAGACGTTAGGGGATATTCATAGTTGGCGCCTTTTACACATGCAAGTTTGTTATTCTGTATGTACCACCGTAACAACGCTGGTTTAAACAAATTGAGGAACGCACACAGAAAACCATTTCCGCATGCCTTACACATGCCGCTCTTATTCCCAATTGTTTACATGCATGACGATAGGGATCGACATGCAAGTCGACAAAACTAAAGTTTGTATAATGATGTACTAAACATGGCTATGAAGCAGAAAGGAGAAATAATGAGTCGGGGAGGCAACTAAGACTTTATAACATTAATTCTCTGCCATAAGCCAGGTCTAAGACAACAGGTAATTCTATAAAACATATTTTTTGTATTCTAAAGAACCCATAAAGAACTTATTCATGCAAAAGTCGTGTCTTTACATTGTTTTTCAGTTACATTTAGGATCGACTTCTCTTATTTATTTAGAAAATTACTTGTATAATAATAATGATAATAATAATACACAAATTGTTATATTTATTGAAAATAAATAAGTATATTTAAATGTATTTATAATAATTATTTAAATGTATATATTTGAAATATATAATTAAATATTTAAAATATAAAAAGTCAACCACATAGTGCCTTTATTTCTTGGGGGAGGGGGTATGTTTGGAGTGGTTTTGCCCAGGGTGCCATTTAAACTAGAACTGCCATTGGAATTGATCTAATATATTTGGCACCTTTCACACAATCCAGTGAAGACAGAGGGAATTAGGCAATTAAACCATTAAAAGTCACCTTAATGATCTGTCCTCTGGCTGGCTGGAGCTCAGGATCAGGCTGCAGCTCTCCTGAGCGAACACCCGAGCAGTTGATTATCACATCAGCACCACAGGCTGACAACTGGAAAACATCATACAGTATATTTCTAGTGTGACTCTATATTCTTAGAGTAACTCAAATGAATTATAATGCTGCTATGCTTAAGTCAAAGGTCTCAAACTCGATTCCTGGAGGGCCACAGCTCTGCATAGTTTTGTTCCAACCCTATTTAAACACAGCTGATCCAAATAATCAAGTGTTCAAACGAATCTTAAACACCTTGATTTGTTTCTGCAACTATGTTTGATTAGGGTTGGAGCAAAACTGTGCAGAGCTGCAGCTCTCCAGGAATTGAGTTTGAGACCTACGATTTAAACTGCTACTGAATCTTTGAATACACATTTTGTAAATTGTTTAGTTACTGTAATTAAAGTACTTATTGACTAGAAAAATGAAAGGGACAACTTTTTAGGTAATCTAATGCACTTGCAGTTCTGTGTAAATAAATTTAGAGAATCAGAGAAATTATATGATTTTGAATATAACATTTTGGTGCATTTTGTAATTTTATTTCATTTGTTTAACTAAAAAAGATTGTACATGCTTAAGGAAAAAAGCTATTAAGAAATTAATCATTAATTTAAAACATTACATGGTTTGACAGTCTTTTTTGCAAAGTAATTATATTTCTTTCAAATATGCTGTTTGTTATTAAATGCCTTTTTAAATATAGCTAAAAGCCATCTCAGACTAAATTACTTTTCAGACAAAATATATGAAGAAAAATATACTGTATTTTCACAGGGTGATGTTTTTCTGAATAAAGTATCTTAATCTAGAGCTTTATATTTACTCAAAATAGGGCAAAAACACATCCAAACCTCTTTAAATGAATCAATCTTTCTTTGATAAAACTTGACATTTCTTTCTTTTAACCTGTTAAGAAAACAAGAAAATGATTCATATGTGTTCTAGATCTTAAGTTTTAAAAATATACATGTATTGTGTACAATTTGTGTATCTCTCACCAGTCCATCAGCCAGGGCAGATATGTTTTTCCTTCAATCATGATAGAAGTGTTGAACCAGCCAAAGCTGAGAATAGATGGTAATGCAAAATGAAAGGATGACCCTGAGAACAGTTTCATTTAATTTAAATGGAAAGTCAAAGTTGTCGATAAACACAAGCACCAGCGGCTTTTTCAAAATATAAAGTAATAGCTATTATATTATATTATATTATATTATATTATATTATATTATATTATATTATATTATATTATATTATATTATATTATATTATATTATATTATATTATATTATATTATATTATACTCACTATACCCTATTGGAAATAAAATACAGTGTACAGTATGTATTTAGAGCCCAGTTTTTCAACCAAAAAGGTGCCATGTTTACATTATTTTTAGACAAAACCTTTTTTTTTTAATTCAGAAGTTTAGAGAAAGCAATATTTAGTAAAATAATCCTGACTTTCAATCATAACAGTTTTATTTCTCTTTTGATCAATTTTCATTCTCTGAAAAAATAAAATCATAAAACTTAAGTCATTATGAGTTAAATTTAATCAAATTGTCTTGTGACATGGAATATTACATTGCCCCCTCAGTAGGGTTTAACAAAGGGGTGTAGCAGATATTTTAAAATTGGGGGGGGCAGGTGTATGAGAACCCAAAGTTTTCGTTCATATAATACGCCACAAATTATAAAGTTCTATCTGCGTTCTGAATGATTTTGAGATATTGAGCTTCAAATTGTTTGCATTCCGTAGCAAACAGTACAGTATGTGTGTAAGATTTGTTTTTTTAAATAAAAAGTCTTAAAATGTAAACAACTTATAAAAAAATCCCATAATGTAAATAAGTTGTCATTTTATAAGAATATGTCAATAACTCAATTTTGAAAATGTCAGATAGAACCTTATAATTCTAAGGTGACGAAATATTAATCACCTGTTTCTAAATGATCTGTCTCTAAAAGTGAGGGGGACATATCCCCCGTCCCCCTGTTTGCTACACCCCTCGGTTAACAAATGGCTTGGTCTGAGTTAAAACCAAATTAATAATTAATTAGTACAATTAAACCAAATATTGCTCCACATCTTGTACAAGACTCTGACCTTGAAACAATGTTTCAGATTTGCGTATGTAATAAGTACCTGTAGCCCGGAAACATCTCTAATTCACGACTGGTCAGTTGGCGAAAACCCAGCACTGTGTCTTTAAATGAGGGGTCCTGTTGCACAAGAAGCAGATACAGAATATGTAATTGTTCAATAAAATGTAATTTAACATGCAGCTACATGGGATATTTTAAAATTAAGCATTTAAAGGAATAGTTGAGCCAAAAATTAAAATTCTGTTTCATTTATTCTGCATGTACTTCTTCCCAACTTTTATGAGTTTCTTTCTTCTGCTGAGAAGATATTTTGAAGAATGCTAGGAACCTTTAACCACTGACTTCCATAGTCCATTTTTTCCTACTATAAAAGTCAATGGTTACAGGTTTCCAGCTTTCTTATGTGTTCAACATAACAGAAAGTCATAAAGGCTTTGGAACCACTTGAGGCAGAGTAAGTAGTGAGTAAATTGTAATTTTTGGGTGAACTGTCCCTTTAAAATGGGAAATGTCAGTGTTCTCACTGCTGCAGTTTCAGCGCACAGATTGTAGCCAGACTGAAGGAAGATACCCATTTTGATTGAATCTGGAGAGTTGATGAAACTCAGTAGATAGTCAAAGGTCTCTTTGTTCCATTGACTGAGAATAGAAAAGAAAACATTTTATTAGCAGGGTTCTTCAGGATATCTCAGAAACAGCCTATGGACAGATAAAAGGCTCACGTTTCTTTGACAATTCCCTTGTCGTAGAGATAGGGCTGCCAGAGTCCAGCTGCCCCATCGCTGGTGGTCAGAGGAGTGAAGAAATCAGCATAAACCTCTATGGTGAGAGGAGAGACTCTGCTGTGGAAGTGCTGGTAGATGCTCTGAGCAGTGGAGAGACCGATGACCCCTGCGCCAATGATGCACACCTTCATGACTGCAGACAGAAGAGTGCCTTAAAAGTGAGCATATTTGCTGCATATAATAGGTAATTTGTTAAAGGACTAAACTTCTAATTTATCTGATGTGCAAGTGAATTTAGCTCATTCTTTGAGCTCAATGCTGCCATATGATTAACCTTGCAGCTGACTTAAAGGGGGGGTCAAGAGTCTATTTTTAAGACTTGGTTGTGTTTATGGGGTGCAAAGTAATGTGTGCTCATCCTTCATTTATAAAAAAAAAAAATCACATATTTTTTCATATTTCTTACATTAAATATATACAGCTACTCAGCTAACATGAAAACCACTGTCATATTTCCAAGGTCCTCCGAAAGGCCGCCCTCCAGAGGCTCTGATTGCTCAGCTAACATAATGTGCTGTGATTCACAGACTGGCTCCACGTCACCAAAAGCGTCACACCCCGATAAGTACGCGCTTTGCCTCTGCTTTGTAAATACTGTCAGTCAGTGTAGCTGTATTAGTTTGAGCCTGAATCAGACAAAAAATAAAAAGAAACCTTATGGCTGCTCTTTAAAATAAAATCTGACAAGTGTCTTTCACGGGGCGATGCAGTGGTGCAGTTGGTAGTGCTGTCACCTCACAGCAAGAAGGTCGCTGGGTCGCTGGTTCGAGCCTCGGCTCAGTTGCCGTTTCTGTGTGGAGTTTGAATGTTCTCCCTGCGTTTGCGTGGGTTTCCTCTGGGTGCTCCAGTTTCCCCCACAGTCCAAAGACGTTTGGTACAGGTTAATTTTCCGTAGTGTGTGTGGATGTTTCCCAGAGATGGGTTGCGGCTGGAAGGGCATCCACTGCGTGGAGGACTGTGACTGTTTACAAGGGTTTTAATGATAAATATGAATTTGTAGCCTAATTGTTAGCATTGCGAAACAGCATTTCCCATTGTTCACATTCTTGTTTACATCCTTGCTACAACATACCATTAACGCTAGAAACTATGCATGTAATAGATCAGTTTTAACAAATCAAAATACTTACAGGTTGTGGCTCACAATCCACAGCTTGGACTATTATGGTTGGAGCTGCTCCTTCTTTGAGGAGTTTAAGCTGAATCCAACACTGAACTGGGAAAGATTCTGTAAGCTGTCCTTTGTCAAATGCTAGCTGTATATTTTTTATAAATCTCTGGAACAGAATTAAAATTAAATTGTAAGCACTTCTCCCTTTGTGTTGTGTCCTTTGGAAGCCCAACACAGAAACAGAAACTCTGTGGAAATAGCAGCATTTGGACGACATTTTAGCTTTCTGTGCTATAATGTTACTGCGCCTCTGGCCATGGGTCTTAGCTCCTCAGGAGGTGTGTGCCCATGGTGTATGCACAAAGTCTGTAGCATTTGTGATTTTACTAACCTGGATTAATTTTTTTTTGTTTGTTTGTAGTCCCTAAACTTTGTTTGCTGTAGGCTATGCTAAGCTAACTCTGTAAAAGCCAGTGTCTCCCTTTGCATTGAACTTTGAGCATATTACATTCAGAAATAATGTTTATGTTCACAAAGCTTTATAACACATCAACTAAAACTTAAAACATGATATTGCAGTGAACCTTCTCTTAAAATATTGATTAATTTTAATGTACAAAAATAAAAAATCTAGAGAAATCAGCTAATACTACACATGCAAGACTGACAAGATTGGTTTTCATTATTGGTCACTTTCATGTGAGCTTAGTTGAGTAAGCAATTCTCTGCATGTAAAGCACTGCTGAAAAAAACTCACCTTAATTAAGCTGTCTAGTAGAAAACTAGTGCAAACAGTCCTGCTTCTTTTCCTAACATGCAATGCCTCAAGACTGCATCAAACAGAATCTGAACTTACTAATTAACTTTATTCCCCACATTGCATAACATACACGATCAAAAACTGCAGCCATTCAATTGCTTTTCTTTACACAAAGCTTGGATTATAGAGTAAAGTCCACCAGATTGTATTAGAGCCAGACTTGGCCTCTTCTTGAGGTCTGTTTAATATTTTACTTGAATAAACAAATTTTAATATCAACAGGGGAAGCTCATTTAGATTTACTATCTACATAATGACAATGCAGACTTTAGAACTTATGGAATGAATAATTGTAATCAAATTAAATTAAATTGTTCATTCATTCATTTTGCAGGGGTCGCTACAGCAGAATGAACCACCAACTTATCCAGCATGAGTTTTACACAGTGGATGCCATTCCAGCTGCAAACCAGGAGAACATGCAAACGACACACTGAAATACCAACTGATCCAGGTCAGTGACTGTACTAACCACCCTATATTATATTATATTATATTATATTATATTATATTATATTATATTATATTATATTATATTATATTATATTATATTATATTATATTATTCAGTCATTTTCTTTTCTGCTTAGTTCCTTCATTAATCCGGGGTCGCCACAGCGGAATGAACTGCCAACTTATCCAGCACGTTTTGACGCAGCGGATGCCCTTCCAGCCGCAACCCATCTCTGGGAAATATATTATATTATATTATATTATATTATATTATATTATATTATATTATATTATATTATATTATATTATATTACATTATATTATATTATATTATATTATATATCCACAACACCTTATTGCAACTGAAATGACTTTTTTACTAATTACAAATTTGGATTTTGTGAAAATATATTGAATGAAGTGGCGGACTTAATGATTTGGGGGCCCTAAGCAATTCCAGGTATGGGGCCCAGGCATTGAAACTCGATACATTCTTTTTCTCTATAGATAGATATATATTTTTTCTGTAGATATTTTTTTATATCAATATAAACTGCATGTTAAAAATGAATTTTAAGTGGAACTTTTTCATCTCACCCGTCTTTCAGATGAGACGTTAAACCGAGGTCCTGACTCTCTGTGGTCATTAAAAATCCCATGGCACTTCTCATAAAAGAGTAGGGGTGTAACCCTGATGTCCTTACGATCATGGCCTCCCAATCATCCCCATCCACCAAATTGGCTCTATCCCTGTCTCTCCACTTCCCCAATAGCTGGTGTGTGGTGAGCGTCCTGTGTCCTGTGGCAGCTGTCACATCATCCAAGAGGATGCTGCACCCTGGTGGTGGTGTGGAAAGTTCCCCCTCATGATTTTGAAGCACTTTGGGTGAATGGCCATATACAAGAAATGCTCTATATAAAACACTTAAAAAAACTTTTATCTTCTTAATGTAAAATTAAATACAATAAAATCACACAAAAGAGAAAAACAAGTTCACAAACTAACCATATGTACAGTTATTCAGCCATATTTGTGATTAGATTTTAAGATTTGTATCATGTGCAGTATTTAAGGAATGTTCCACTATTCACGAGGGCCCCTGGTTTTGAAAAGAAGTTATGACATCAAAACATTAATGGTTATAGACAGATTTGACAAAATTTTTCATGAGTTATATAATTAATTTTAATTTTTGGCATTGGTCAGGCCCCCATAATTTCCCAGGGGTCTAAGCAGTTGCTTACCTTGCTTATTGGTCCACCTTATAAGTCCACCCCTAATTGAATGTATAACCTACTACAGTCATACAAGCCCTAGAACCCTAATTCCTATATGGAATAACTGACTTTCCGTCACAAAAACTAATTATTATTTATTTATTCTGACCGTTTGTCATATTCTAAAAAATAACTGCTCTAATAACAATTATTTTTATGTGAAATATGGAAGAAATGTTATCAGACCGTTGTAAAATAACCCAAATAACAAACACACTTAAGTAAATCCACTAAATACAGAGAAAGTAAAAGGTGGTCTGTTTCCATAACTATATCTTATGGTTTCAAATTCCTGGAGGGCAGCAGCTCTGCTCCAACCAGCTCCAACTCACACCTGCTTAATATGTAGTCTCTAGTAATCTTGAACATCTTTAGTTGGATCAGCTGTTTGATTAGGATTGAAATCGATTTTGAGTTAATGGTTACACACAGTGACAGCAGTGGCCTGAATTATTACATCGCTCCGCCAGTAGGTGTTGTCAAATATGTATTTTTGTGCAATTATGAATCACTTCAGTCATCGACTCACCAATTGAACTGATTCACTACTCGACTGAATCGATTACCACCGCAACACACTCCTTTAAAAACATCTTCAAATAAGTTATTTTAACTTTAAACTAATGTTGTCAACTGCAGTGTATAGCTTTTTAAAAAAGCCTAAGATTGATACTTTCCACACAGGAGAAGTTCTCCATGTTTAATCAAATATTCAACGTGATTCAAAACACTACTGACTCGCTCAGTAAAAGGCGTGTTCCTTCAGTAATCTCAACCAATGATATTCATCCTCCACATCCAACACTCGAAGGCTATTGGCTCCTGCTAGAATCAATCATCACGACAGAACGCAAGCCACTCACTTTGAACAGCGACAAGCAAAGAAAGACGTTCACATCAAAAGATTCATTCAAAACACCGATTCGTACGAACACACCGCTAATGAACAACTGTGGGCATCAGTAGCGGTGCGAGTTTGAGCCCCATGCGGTAGTAAGTGAGTGAGAAGCACCAAAACAACATCCAGCTCATGTCAAAACGGAATCAACGATACAAACGAGCCGCTCAGCCATGGCATTTTAACAACAGCGAGCGCGTGGAGTCGCAGCGCAGTCCCCGAAGATCTGCCGGGGGAAATCCGCTAGCCGGTTTAGCTTGTGACAGATAGACTGGCCGTTGTGCTGGGAGGTTTCCATCCATGGCTCTGGTCACTCTGCAGCGCTCGCCCACTCCCAGCGCCGCGTCCACTTCCAGCACCGCCACCACCAACGCGGGGGAGGTAAGCGGAAACGAGCACGAGGTGTGGGAACTATGTATTCCTCAATAAAAACATAACGGGACGCTTATATATTTCACTCACGTAGGCCCGATGCTAATACAGCTCAGGAGGTAGAGCTAAACAGCGGGATGCCATCAGGATAGATGTGGGATTGAACGCTGTGTCATCGTGTTTATCTGCTCAAATCACACTTGGGCATTTTCTGCACTACTTGATGTTATTGACCTCAGTTTTACTTGATCATTCACATTCATCTTTTGGGAAGGTGTTTAATCAGTGCTGTAGAGTAGACAACTTACAGGCAGTGTTTATGGTTGTGGTTGGATGGAGCTCGATGCTCTTGTTGTGTTGGATGCTGATCAAGTCTTTCATCAATAGAAAGTGTTTGGCAGTGATGTTAGCTGTTTATTGCTAGATGTTTAGATGTTTATTGAGCTAATGGCTTGTTTATAGGCTGTCCTGCAATTTGTTGTGTAGATAATATATATGACTTTACATAAACTACCCACCGCTTTAGGAGTTGTCAGTGATAACAGGAGAAATTAACGACGTCTTCGGACTTCAGATGTCAACTGTCTATAATTTTACTTTATTTGATGCTGGTCACTGCTGTGTTGACATCACGTGATCAGTCGTGTAATTGACTTGAGTCATTGTGCAAGGTGCATTGCAAAGCAAAAACACATTAAAAAGTTGTCTAAATCTACTGGTGTTTTTATTTTTGGGCAGTGTGGTGGATTGTCTTTATTTAATACCCTCATTAAATAAAGAAACCAGAATCCTCTCTTGGTTATATTTCTTAGCTAGAGTTTTGTTTAGGGCTATCTTTTGGAATGTTGTTCAAGGAACAAATTAGATTAATATCTTACCACACAAGCTAACTTGATGGGTTCTGCAAATTAAGCCAATGTAGTACTCCAGTAATGAAAATTAATAAAATATAGTTAAAAGAAGAATAAAAACAAATACGAGAATAAAACAAAATCCTTTACTTCATCATCCGCTGAGAATAAAGGGCCTAAGACATTTACTACAGAGAAGTCAAGTTTTATCACTTCATTTTTTTGCTGGGTTCCAGGACATTTCGGGCTTTCAAGAAATGAGCGAGCTGACGCAGCTACTAAGGATGCTTTGAAGCAAGTGGTGAACAAAGGCCAAACTCCTCCATCAATGATGAGACCTATTATTAATGGGTTCGATTTTAAACAAGTGGCAAGAGGAGTGGATGCATTGCAAAATAATAAATTATTACATTCAATTCACCTTTATTTCTAGTGCTTTTACAATGTAGATTGTGTCAAAGCAGCTTCACATAGAAGATTGTAGTAAATTGAAACTGTGTCAGTCCAGTTTTTAGAAATGCAAAAAACCTGCATGGAGCACATTAATGCATAATACTATGTGATGCATTGAGTGTATTCCTTACTAAAAAGATAGCTCTTTAATCTAGTTTTGAACTGCGAGAGTGCGTCTGAGCCTTAGACATTATCCGGAAGGCTATTTTAAAGTTAAGGAGCCATAAATGAGAAGGCTCTACCTCCTTTACTTGACTTTGCTGTTCTAGGTACTACCAGAAGCCCTGAGTTTTGAGATCTTAAAGAGCGGGTTGGATTGTAGCAAGACAGAAGGTTAAATAGAAAAACAAGAGATAGATTATTTAAAGCTTTATAGGTAAGAAGCAAAATTTTAAATTCAATACAAAACTTAACAGGCAGCCAGTGTAAGAAGGAAAAAGTTGGGGTGATCAGATCATATTTTCTAGACTTGGTAAGAAATTTTAATCATGTATTAACACAAAAAAAATCTTTTTTAATTTATGCATTAATTTGTTTGTTGATTTTTAATTGAATATTTATTATTGAAATGTTCCTTCCATGAAAATAGTCTTGATTGCTGACATGGCATTAAATTAAAAATACATTACATTACAGTATAGAGAAGTCAGTTAAGCGCACTGCTGGTTTGTATATTCCAGCCTTTTATAGTTTTCATGCATAGATGTAAAAGCTTCTTTAGAATAGCTATAGCTTTTTGGAAACAGCTATCACAGCAAAAGCTCTCCAGAGTATATCTCTAAACATATAAATCAACATTTGGCCAGTTCCTCTGAGTCATTCTTGCAAAGTCATGTTTTTTAGCTGGACAAGGATCTCATCTTTTGAAGGTAAAGTTCCCGTATTTCTTACAGGCAGCAGTTGTATGGTAATTGATTTGCAATTTTATCTGGGCTGCATCATCCCTTAGCATTAGCAGAGGGCTGATACACATCAGTGCACCGTGTTCGATTCCTTAGGGCTCTTGGTTGAAGGCGCCTGTTCTTCCTGTTGTTTCTTCTCATTGCTTATAACTGTTGTTTTAAACAATGAGACATCTGAATATGTAAGTGAAGTTTTGTGTCTTTTACAATTACAATTATTGTCATTAAACCAACCAGACACTACAGCAGACATGCACAATAATCAAGCTTGATAATAGTTACTTAGTTACAAACTATGTGTGTGGGGTTCGGGTGGTTCGGAAGACCCACCCCTCACTGACAGATGTCCAGAAATTTTCCCATACTTGAGCTCAGTTGTCCAATTTTGACTGGTATGCCATCATAATGAGTTAAAATAACTCATCGAAAATGCTTTAAGTCTAAGCGGAATCCTCTTTTGGCAGTTGCTTCAGTGTGATTTCAGCTATTCAGTTTTGGCCAATGCAAACAATTATTTTACATGAGTCCAACATCCAGCTGTGCAATCGGACATAAGAGGAGTCATCTTTCGCTACTGTGTTGGTTTTAAATGGAGAAAACATTTTACAATAAACTTTTGTTGTAATTCTTGGACCTTATTCTTGAAACAAAATATGACCATTAAAAAGGTGTGAAGCACCAATGGTGGCTCATATTAAAATTGATTTGAATACTATTTTGGCTAAAATAGTCAAAGTGTGATTATAATGACCATCCGACAAACAAATTCAGAATAGTGCTTAAAATGTCACTTAAATGCTGTATTAAATTCCAGAATTCAATAGAAAATTAAGCGTAATGAGGCTGCAAAAAGGTCCACTTTTTAAGAAAAAAGAACCACCCCTTTTTACTACAAGCCTGTTATGAAAGTTCTCAAGAGTAGAAAGTAGTGAGTATTACACTGTGAAAAGCTGATGCACTTACATGTAATTAATGCGAGTGTGTAAAAAACGTAACATTCTGTAGTGCATTTAGTTATTGTTTAAGGTCATTTTGGTCATCATACAGTAAACACCTGTCATCTTCTCATCATTCATTCATTTATTTTCTTGTCGGCTTAGTCCCTTTATTAATCCGGGGTCGCCACAGCGGAATGAGCCGTCAACTTATCCAGCAAGTTTTTACGCAGCGACCCATCTCTGGGAAACATCCACACACACTCATTCACACACACTCATACACTACGGACAATTTAGCCTACCCAATTCACCTGTACCTCATGTCTGTGGACTGTGGGGGAAACCGGAGCACCCGGAGGAAACCCACGCGAAGGCAGGGAGAACATGCAAACTCCACACAGAAACGCCAAATTAGCAGAGGTTCGACCCAGCGACCTTCTTGCTGTGAGGGGACAGCACTACCTACTGCGCCACTGCCTCGCCATCTTCTCATCAGTGACATGCAATTAAACAGTCTCTGGGTCACTGCGTGTAAAGTAGCTTCTTGGACACTTAATGCCTCTAATCTTTTTGCTGCATGTCTTAAGATTCTTACATTTCTGTGTGTGATTTGATTGGACAGTCACAGGAATAACAGGACTGATTTTTTGAGTAGTGAATGCAGGTTGAAGGAAATAGGGGAGTAAAAGTACTCATACAGCACTAAAAATGTACTCAAGGGAAAGTAAAAGTACACGTTTTTAAAACTACTCAGTAAATTACAATTCCTGAGAAAAACTACTCAACTACGGTAATATGAGTATTTGTAATTTGTTACTTTACACCATTTGTTATTTGATTTATTGTTATTTGTTATTCATTTTCTTTTCGGCTTAGTCCCTTTATTAATCCGGGGTCGCCACAGGGGAATGAACCACCCTTCCAGCCGCAACCCATCCTTGGATATTATATTATATTATATTATATTATATTATATTATATTATATTATATTATATTATATTATATTATATTATATTATATTATATTATATTATATTATATTGAATATTTAAGAAAATAATATCGATCTATTTTATTATTAACTTTATTGTCATATAAAAATCTAACCTTTTTATGTTGGGCAGTCAGTGATGATATCTTGTGCTGTGAATGATTAATATAAATCTATAAAACTATGAATCTAAATAATAAATACGTACACAAACATGTAAGCATTTTCATATATACAGTCAGAACATAACAGTATTATTATCTATTATGGTATTGGAGTTAATTGGAACTAGTTAAACAAAAACTTACACTTACCATTTATTTTAATTGTAATGTATACAAAAATAAGCACCACTACATGATGCGAAGCTGCTTATTATATTGAAAATATCATTGCCATATTGCTTTTGACGTTGTATATGGTTAAAGTACATTGAGGAGTTTGTTTACATGTAGCCCATCGTATTGTGTTGGACTGTGTGCTTTCATTCATTTGGTTAAGCCATTTTAAAAAGGGGAACTGTCAAAAGGATGGAAGCTTTTGGGTCATGAACTAGTTTACAATAAAACTGTCTAACAACAGAAATACTGTGCACTGCCTCCCTCATTCACTATAGTTCCCAATAGTTTTGTACGATATTGGTAAATTGCAATATTTAAATGTTTCGCGAAAAATATTGTGTTATGAATACAGTTTTGCTAAATGGTTTGAATTCTCTGTTTGACTTTTAGTCTAACAAGTATTTAGATAAAGCAATTAAGTAATCACAATTCAATTTACTTCAGATTTTCTTGTTTCTAGTTCAAATATCAAAAAAGTTTTTTTTTTCGACTTTCAATAATAATAAGTCCAAATTAAGTGAGATTTTCGGTGGCGCAGTGGGTAGCACGTTCGC